AATATAGTCTATAAGCATCCATTACCTTACATTCAGAGAGAGAGAAAAATAAGGTTCAGTATGCTACATGTCCCATATTTCTGAAACACACAGTCGATTTCAATTAAATTATGGTGCTTCCGAAAAGGGCCCTCAACATTGTTTGATTCGAAACGCCATTGTATTTCGGCAATACATTTTAAACTTATATATATATATATATATATATATATATATATATATATATATATATATATATGTGTGTGTGTGTGTGTGTGTGTGTGGTGTGTGTGTGTGTGTGTGTGTGCGTGTGTGTGTGTGGTGTGTGTGTGTGTGTGTGTGTGTGTGTGTGTTGTGTGTGTGTGTGTGTGTGTGGGTGTGTGTGTGTGCTCCAAAATACTTTAGTGGTAAAATCATATGGCAGAACTGAACCTTAAGCAGAAATAATATGTACATAAGCTTTGTTAAGAGTTTAATGTTATATATATGTGTGTGCGTGTGTATGTGCGTATATACATGTGCGTGAGTCCCGTGAATACTGAAATATAATGTAAATATCACCCAAAGGGAAGAGATAATAAGAGGAATAAGAAATAGCTGGGAATGGTGCAATTTAGTAAGTTAGATGAAGGTGTCGGGGATTCTTGCGCCTGTCGGGTACACATCTCCTGAAGTGCATTGAATATATTTGTTAATAATATATAGACACATTCTCGTTTTTCGTTTCCCTTTTAACTTTTTACCTTTCCTTACCATGAAGCATTCTTCTAAAGGCAAAGATGAAAACTAATATGACTTCTATCCACTACAGTGTAAAAAGAATGATATATAGATACATACATACGTACATGATATTCTAAATTTTGACAATATGAAGATCAGTGCATTTGAAATGCAGTAGTAATAATTACCAAGTAAAATCGCTAATACCAATGCTGACACTAATGACTAGGCAGTAGGAATAGTAAGAAATATATTAAGAATAATATTGATAATGATGATGGCTATAATATCAATAATATCAATAATAATTATGATAAAGCCAATAACAATATCAATAACAATAATAAGAAATGCGAATAATAGGTCTGACTACTATGATCATAACAGTAATAATGACATTCATTGCAGTAATGATATAGATGACACTGACAGTGCCAAGGGCAATAAAGGAACAATAAAATATCATAACAGTGATAATGGCAATGATAATAACGGTTACAATACGAAAGATGATATTGATAATAGTCATGATAGTACTGAAAATACTATAATGTTTTTACTAATAACGATAATGATAATAACAATGATAATATAATATTAATGATAGTATTCATAAAAATAATAGTATGATCATTTGCATTACTATGATTATTAAAACAGTTATAAAACTATCATCATTATTAACATTATCCCTAAAATAATTCTAATAATCATTGCAACTGTAACTGTAACTGTCACAATAATCATATTCGCATAATCAATATCATTAGTATTTCTATCATTATTTTCAATTATTGCTATTATCATTTTTATTCTTATTATCATTTTTATTATCATCATTATTATTATTATCATCATTATTATCATTTTTACTGTTGTCTCTGTTTTGTTATTATTATTTCTATTATCATTAATACTATTATCATCATCATTATCATTATTATTATTATCATTATTATTATTATTACTATTGATAATATTATACTACTACTACTACTACTACTACTACTACTACTACTACTACTACTACTACTATTACTACTACTACTACTATTATCATTATTATCATTGTTGCTATTATTTCTATTACCATTATATGAATCTCGCATTAGATGGAATTCCGGTTTATGACTTGAAAGCAAATAACAAGTAACTAAAGGTTTCACAGTCGTGTCCATCTTTTTTGAGGTTTCTAGGACTTTCCGCAATATTTTCGGTGTTCCTAATAATGTTTTTGCATGCGTGTTTGTTTGTTTGTACGCCAGTAGCATCTATTAAGTCAGCTTTGTGCAGACCATGTTACTGACAGACGTTGAGTTAACATAATATCACAAAACTGGCTGATAAGTGTGTGTATTTGGGGATATGTGAGCTATCTTGTGTATTGATGTAAAACCATTTATAATTATCTGTTCCTCTTAATATTACACGCCTTTCATTTCACACTATATAGCTATTTCACTGTAACGTCATTCATGATAAAAGTAAAATTCCTCACACAGGGAACTCATGTTTATAAAAAAGGTTTATCGCAATCCAAACCAACACCGGTTCTATCATTCAGCGAAAACGACCTTATATGCGTGCATGCAGCTCTACTGTGCGGCTGTACATAATAACAATCAATGCACATATTTTTGATATAGCATAATACTGAGTGGTATCATTATCATTACCATCGTTTTAATCATCATAGAAAATTATATTAAGAATAATCAACATTCAGTAACAATTATGGTAATCATGATTAATAATATCAATTACCAAAAGGTAATAATGGTAGCAAAAATTATGATAA